CGTCATAATGAGGTCATTCTACTGAGTCATTTTACCCCAAAAATTAGTTATTCTTTTACAGACCGAATAGTTTACCAAAAAAACAAGTTAAACTTCTATAAACCCAATATTTTACCAACACATTGAGTCACTCTTATAGAGACCCATTATTTTACTAACATACAGTCACTGGTATCAAGAGCTGAGCGTTCAGAAGCAATGGCAAACTCATCATCATGTAGCAGGTCCTTTGCAGAACGTCGGCCTCATCACGGCCTGCCTGAAAGAAACTCGGTCTCTCGCCAGCTTTCCCACTTCATGTACTTTCATACTCGAGGATTCCCTTATATCCTGTGCCCATCCTTGTGTAGGTTGGCCCCTGCCCCTCCTTCCTGGTACCCTGCCTTCTGCTATAATTTTTTTCCAATCCGTCGTGGCGCTTGATATGACCAAAATATTTCAACTTCTGAGACAGGATGCTGTTTATTAGCCAATCTTCCTTGATGTTCAGATCTTTCAAGATGTGAGAATTTCTCCTCTTCTTTGTGCAAGATATTCTGAGAATCTTTCTATAGCATTTCAGCTCAAAAGTCCCCATTCTCTTTCTTAAGGACTGAGAGATAGTCCACGACTCACATCCGTATGTAGCTACAGGGAAGATGCATGCTCTCAAAATTGTAATTCTGATCTCCTTGCTGGTGCTTAACCATATACTTTTGAGGCTGTTCAATCTCTGCATTGCTATGACCATCTTCCTTTTAATTTCTTTCAAACAGTCTCCACTGTTGTTTATTACAGACCCTAGATATTCAAAGTTTGTGACATGTTCAATTTCTTCATAATTTATTGGGTTTTTGTGTGTGGGTGTCAGCCAGTTTTATCTGTGGACATTATTTAATGGCAAACTACTGAACATCAAATGTGACTAGAGAGAAATGCTGGGGTTGGTTCTGCAATGTCCTGTAAAGGATACACAACTAAACTGTCACAGTCACTGACCTTTAGAAACATACACTATAATTATTAAGCACAGCAAAGCATTATTATTGACTAAATCATTGCCTTCTAAAATCCTGTGTAAAGCAAAATACAAGAGGGTCAATAACAGAAAATAAAGTTTGCTCATGTATTTGTCTGTATTGTTGTTTGTTTCAGAGAATAAACATGTGATACCAAGCCACTGTCTCTATAAATATATTAGAGAACACAAACCTTACAATGTTTTCAACCATTTTTTTCTTTAATATAACGCATATCTTCACAACAGTCTCAGCCAGTGTTCTTGAGAACAAGTAATTATTATCAAGTGCCGACTGGCATGGGCGATCATGCCTCTCCACAATCTGCGCATCAGTTTATGTGCTGACACACCTCCAGGCCATGACAAAAGACTGCCAAGAATCTACTCATGCTGTCTTTCTCTGTCTCTCTTTCCACAAATCTTTCCAGTGGTCACAACATGTTCTATTTTCCCTCTCCTCATTACATGACCAAACAAGGACGACTGTCTCATCGTGATGTTTGTGATAAGTTGTCTTTGAGCATTTACCTTTTTTAAAACATCTAGGTTGCTTTTCTAGCTGACCAAGGAATTCTAAGGATTCACTTGTAGAGATTCACATCTCCGAAGCCTCAAGATTTTGTTTGGCTTAATTATTAGTCCAGGATTAACAGCAGTATTTTACAACTGTCTCCATCTAGGATGTGAGAATTCTTTTCCTAACCAGCATGACATGGATTTATTACAAAAAATGTTCTTCATTTTATAAAAGGCGGTTTAGAAAAAATAATTCTGACAAACATACTCAAGCTAATTTAGAACAAATATCCAGCCATTAACTTAGCTTTTCTCTGCCTAATCTTCTATAGAACAATATATCCCTGCCCAAATCCCTATTCTAAAGTCGACCACTCACCTGCCGATCTCTTGGAGTAGGTGGAGGTGTTGCTGTTGAGAGTGTTCATCCAGCCAGACTGTAGCCTCAGATCAGCTTGCCCCGTGTTTGAGGTCAGGGTTTGAGGAGCTATGGACTGATTGTCCAGGGCATCGGCTACAGACACAGTCAAAGAGAAACAGAATCTCAAGTCTTAGTGTCCAGGGCAACAGCTACAGACAGACACAGTCAAAGAGAAACAGAATCTCAAGTCTTAATGTCCAGGGCAACAGCTACAGACATAGTCAAAGAAAAACAGAATCTCAAGTCTCAGTGTCCAGGGCAACAGCTACAGACAGACACAGTCAAAGAGAAACAGAATCTCAAGTCTTTGTGTCCAGGGCAACAGCTACAGACAGACATAGTCAAAGAGAAACAGAATCTCAAGTCTTAATGTCCAGGGCAACAGCTACAGACAGACACAGTCAAAGATAAACAGAATCTCAAGTCTCAGTGTCCAGGGCAACAGCTACAGACAGACACAGTCAAAGAGAAACAGAATCTCAAGTCTTTGTGTCCAGGGCAACAGCTACAGACAGACATAGTCAAAGAGAAACAGAATCTCAAGTCTTAATGTCCAGGGCAACAGCTACAGACATAGTCAAAGAGAAACAGAATATCAAGTCTTAATGTCCAGGACAACAGCTACAGACATAGTCAAAGAGAAACAGAATCTCAAGTCTTAATGTCCAGGGCAAAAGCTACAGACAGACATAGTCAAAGAGAAACAGAATCTCAAGTCTCAATGTCCAGGACAACAGCTACAGACATAGTCAAAGAGAAACAGAATCTCAAGCCTCAATGTCCAGGGCATCGATAAATTTGTAATCCAAAAGCTGTAAAACAGACGGATTATTCCAGACATCAGCTACATATTCACTGAGAGAAACAAAGAACGACCTGACTGATTATTCCAGACATCAGCTACATATTCACTGAGAGAAATAAAGAACGACCTGACTGATTATTCCAGACATCAGCTACATATTCACTGAGAGAAATAAAGAACAACCTGACTGATTTTTTTATGGCATTAGTTTTATATTCACAGACAGCAAAGAAACAAATGACAATTTTTTTCAAAGGGTCAAAGTGGAATGCAGGCGCGGCTTAGATTTGGCCCTTCCAAACACTCGTCTTTCACACAGCAACTAAGTTCACAAATAAAGCAGGTTATGTTCATATAGCAATAAACATATAATGAATAATAAGTAAAAGCACAAATTCATAAAACAGGTTATGCTTGTATCATAGATTCAGAAACACTGCATTTGCAACATCGTCATCACCGGCACCTTTCCGTCTTTCCAGACAATGGTGTTATATTGACCTATGTATGGGACTCACGTGTTATACTGCGCTATGAGAGACATGGGACTCACGTGTTATACTGCACTATGTATGGGACTCACATGTTATACTGCGCTATGTATGGGACTCACATGTTATACTGCGCTATGTATGGGACTCACATGTTATACTGCACTATGTATGGGACTCACATGTTATACTGCGCTATGTATGGGACTCACATGTTATACTGCGCTATGAGAGACATGGGACTCACATGTTATACTGCACTATGTATGGGACTCACATGTTATACTGCGCTATGTATGGGACTCACATGTTATACTGCGCTATGTATGGGACTCACATGTTATACTGCGCTATGTATGGGACTCACGTGTTATACTGCGCTATGTATGGGACTCACATGTTATACTGCGCTATGTATGGGACTCACGTGTTATACTGCGCTATGAGAGACATGGGACTCACATGTTATACTGCGCTATGTATGGGACTCACGTGTTATACTGCGCTATGAGAGACATGAGACTCACATGTTATACTGCGCTATGTATGGGACTCACGTGTTATACTGCGCTATGTATGGGACTCACGTGTTATACTGCACTATGAGAGACATGGGACTCACATGTTATACTGCACTATGACAGACATGGGACTCACATGTTATACTGCGCTATGTATGGGACTCACATGTTATACTGCGCTATGAGAGACATGGGACTCACATGTTATACTGCGCTATGTATGGGACTCACGTGTTATACTGCGCTATGAGAGACATGGGACTCACGTGTTATACTGCGCTATGAGAGACATGGGACTCACGTGTTATACTGCACTATGTATGGGACTCACGTGTTATACTGCGCTATGAGAGACATGGGACTCACGTGTTATACTGCACTATGTATGGGACTCACGTGTTATACTGCGCTATGTATGGGACTCACGTGTTATACTGCGCTATGAGAGACATGGGACTCACGTGTTATACTGCGCTATGAGAGACATGGGACTCACATGTTATACTGCGCTATGTATGGGACTCACGTGTTATACTGCGCTATGTATGGGACTCACATGTTATACTGCGCTATGTATGGGACTCACATGTTATACTGCGCTATGTATGGGACTCACGTGTTATACTGCGCTATGAGAGACATGGGACTCACGTGTTATACTGCGCTATGTATGGGACTCACATGTTATACTGCGCTATGTATGGGACTCACATGTTATACTGCGCTATGTATGGGACTCACGTGTTATACTGCGCTATGTATGGGACTCACATGTTATACTGCGCTATGTATGGGACTCACGTGTTATACTGCGCTATGAGAGACATGGGACTCACGTGTTATACTGCGCTATGTATGGGACTCACATGTTATACTGCGCTATGTATGGGACTCACGTGTTATACTGCGCTATGAGAGACATGGGACTCACGTGTTATACTGCGCTATGTATGGGACTCACGTGTTATACTGCGCTATGAGAGACATGGGACTCACGTGTTATACTGCGCTATGAGAGACATGGGACTCACGTGTTATACTGCACTATGTATGGGACTCACGTGTTATACTGCACTATGTATGGGACTCACGTGTTATAATGCGCTATGTATGGGACTCACATGTTATACTGCGCTATGTATGGGACTCACATGCTATACTGCGCTATGTATGGGACTCACATGTTATACTGCGCTATGTATGGGACTCACGTGTTATACTGCGCTATGAGAGACATGGGACTCACATGTTATACTGCACTATGTATGGGACTCACGTGTTATACTGCGCTATGTATGGGACTCACATGTTATACTGCGCTATGTATGGGACTCACATGTTATACTGCGCTATGTATGGGACTCACATGTTATACTGCGCTATGTATGGGACTCACATGTTATACTGCGCTATGTATGGGACTCACATGTTATACTGCACTATGTATGGGACTCACATGTTATACTGCACTATGTATGGGACTCACATGTTATACTGCGCTATGTATGGGACTCACATGTTATACTGCGCTATGTATGGGACTCACATGTTATACTGCGCTATGAGAGACATGGGACTCACATGTTATACTGCACTATGTATGGGACTCACATGTTATACTGCACTATGTATGGGACTCACATGTTATACTGCACTATGTATGGGACTCACATGTTATACTGCACTATGTATGGGACTAACGTGTTATACTGCACTATGTATGGGACTCACATGTTATACTGCGCTATGTATGGGACTCACGTGTTATACTGCGCTATGTATGGGACTCACATGTTATACTGCGCTATGTATGGGACTCACGTGTTATACTGCGCTATGTATGGGACTCACATGTTATACTGCGCTATGTATGGGACTCACGTGTTATACTGCGCTATGTATGGGACTCACATGTTATACTGCGCTATGAGAGACATGGGACTCACATGTTATACTGCGCTATGAGAGACATGGGACTGACGTGTTATACTGCGCTATGAGAGACATGGGACTCACGTGTTATACTGCGCTATGAGAGACATGGGACTCACATGTTATACTGCGCTATGAGAGACATGGGACTCACATGTTATACTGCACTATGACAGACATGGGACTCACATGTTATACTGCGCTATGTATGGGACTCACGTGTTATACTGCGCTATGAGAGACATGGGACTCACGTGTTATACTGCGCTATGAGAGACATGGGACTCACGTGTTATACTGCGCTATGACAGACATGGGACTCACGTGTTATACTGCACTATGACAGACATGGGACTCACGTGTTATACTGCACTATGACAGACATGGGACTCACAGCCCATGGCAATGGCGATAGTAACTAGCAAGACCCGCCCAGGTAAGAAAAGTCTTTCTTGGTTATAGCATGGGATTTCAGGACCGCTGTTGTCAACATTTGTGTTAGTCTGTCTTTTCTCAGATCTCATCCTTTCTACAATTATTACTTCCTTCATTCTCATTACCTTCCTTATCTGCAATATAGGGAGCAAATATATCGTGCTTGCAGCAAAGTGCACACACGCATGCATATGTGTGCACACACACACACAAAGAGATTATATTTGCTGCATAAATTGTGCGCACACCCACACATTAACATAGAAAAAGAGAGAGAGAGAGATTATACTTGCAGCATTAACTGTGCAGACTAGACTGACACAAGTGAGGCTGAGACACAGAGAGAGAGAGACACTGCCAGCACTCACCCAGGGGCACCATGTTTGAGGACAAGTGAGGCTGAGACACAGAGAGAAACACTGCCAGCACTCACCCAGTGGCACCATGTTTGAGGACAAGTGAGGCTGAGACACAGAGAGAGAGAGAGACACTGCCAGTACTCACCCAAGGGCACCATGTTTGAGGACAAGTGAGGCTGAGACACAGAGAGAGACACTGCCAGTACTCACCCAAGGGCACCATGTTTGAGGACAAGTGAGGCTGAGACACAGAGAGAGAGAGACACTGCCAGTACTCACCCAAGGGCACCATGTTTGAGGACAAGTGAGGCTAAGACACAGAGAGAGAGAGACACTGCCAGTACTCACCCAAGGGCACTATGTTTGAGGACAAGTGAGGCTGAGACACACACACACACACAGATACTGCCAGTACTCACCCAGTGGCACCATGTTTGAGGACAAGTGCTTCTTGTCGTAGTGCATCTTCTGCCAGTAAGAAATCATCAGCGTGATGTCCTCCCTCAGCTCACTGGGCTGCTGCGAGGGGCAGATCGGGGGACCACTGTCAGACAGACCAGTTTGCCAGTTGTTTAACACCCTTACCTACACAAGGCTGCAGGGAAAACCTGGCTAGTTCCCTGGCACAGCTCTTAAACTGTCTTATTTATACAGTCTCTAGAAGCTGAGCCAGGTATCTAGGATTCAGCCTGTTAGACCGGCCTCTAAGATGCAACTCTTGAAGTTGCAGGAGTGATCCATTCACAAGGTCCTTATTAGGGCAACACCAAAGAAAGCAGCATAAGACAGATCCTTGAGCAGCAGATGGAAGAGAAACAGACAGCAGACATCACAGGCAGACATTAACAGCAGATATCACAGGCAGACATTAACAGCAGATATCACAGGCAGACATTAACAGCAGACATCACAGGCAGACATTAACAGCAGATATCACAGGCAGACATTAACAGCAGATATCACAGGCAGACATTAACAGCAGATATCACAGGCAGACATTAACAGCAGATATCACAGGCAGACATTAACAGCAGATTTCACAGGCAGACATTAACAGCAGACATCACAGGCAGACATTAACAGCAGACATCACAGGCAGACATTAACAGTAGAAATCACAGGCAGACATTAACAGCAGATTTCACAGGCAGACATTAACAGCAGAAATCACAGGCAGACATTAACAGCAGAAATCACAGGCAGAAATTAAAAGCAGAAATCACAGGCAGACATTAAAAGCAGATATCACAGGCAGACATTAACAGCAGATATCACAGGCAGACATTAACAGCAGATATCACAGGCAGACATTAACAGCAGATATCACAGGCAGACATTAACAGCAGATATCACAGGCAGACATTAACAGCAGATATCACAGGCAGACATTAACAGCAGATATCACAGGCAGACATTAACAGCAGATATCACAGGCAGACATTAACAGCAGATATCACAGGCAGACATTAACAGCAGATATCACAGGCAGACATTAACAGCACACATCACAGACAATAACAGCAAATAGTGAAGAAATCACCTGTTGGGAGAAGAGCTAAATTAAATACAACAATCAAGCATACTAACGAGGGAGCATGGATGAAGACAGAGCATGCATGGGAATGTCCTGAGTGCTGTGATGTCAATTCTTGACTCAACTCAACTCACGCATACCAAAAAGGAAGAAACATTGAACAGACCAATTATAACCTTACAGAACAGGTCAAACAGGGTCAATTCATAGGGAACAAATGTAGCAGCCTGGAGAGGACAACCAGACAAATTAAGCTAGCAAAACAAAAGCTGCCAGCCTTAGATTATGTTTAAGTTAGGATTGGATTGTGTGACCTCAAGCAGCTCACACCAGACTGTCTGATCTTCTGCCATTTCCTGCAGCTCACTCTGTGTCCTCTCTAGAGTATTCATGTCCGTCCATCATTTGCTACTTCATGTGTTTGGACCTCACCCTCTATTTCTTTTCTTCTGTGGGTTCAAGTGCAATGAAATTCTAGCAGTACTACTATCAGATGTTCTCAATCTATGTCCTATCCAGCATACAGTGTCTTCCTCACCTCATGATCGCCTGACTCTATTCCTTTTGTATGAGTTGTGTGGTAAACTGTTTAGAATCTGGAGTGTCTCAGGTCTATACTCTGTTGAACTAGTAGAAGAACTGTTCTGTACCCCAGGATGCTTTAGAAGATCTCACCACAGGCCTCGTAGAAAGTTGTCATTTGTTAGTCTATACACAGAGTGACCATTTGTCCCATTTTTACCTGGACAGACCCATTTTTTCAAAGTATATCCAAGTCGTCCCGTCACAAATTAAAAAACAAATTGTCAACTGTCCCATTTGATAAAATGTAGGGATTAGCTTGAGAATAAGTAAAGAAACAGAGTAAAGGACCCCTTTCCATGCCTTCGGGCGTATTGGGCATCTCGTGCTACACCTATATCAGCACTCGGTGGGTAATGTGGTCAACATCCCACCGAGCTTGAGAACAGAACACATAATTACAATCATATCTGTGGACATTATTAGATTATATTGTGTCAGATATTTTTAATGCCCAAACTGTGCTGATGGCAATTTTCATTGCAGCAATTTACATTCCAGTGCAGAGCCTTGTCAAAATGTATTTGTTGATGACAATGGAGAAGGCTTCAATGAAACTTGACCACTGTTGCATAAGTAATTAACATTTTTACTGTGACTGAAATTTTTTAAAAGGGGCTGGGGGTGTATGGATGTGTAGGGGGTGCATGTGTAGTTAAACTAACTTGCTTGTGATGTCTGTGTTTGTCCGTGTGATGTCTGTGTTTGTCCGTGTGATGTCTGTGTTATGTCTGTGTTATGTCCGTGTGATGTCCGTGTGATGTCTGTGTTATGTCCGTGTGATGTCCATGTTATATCCTGTTTTCAGCTCAAGATTTTATGGTCACCCTATCTATACAGCTACATTTGTTTGCTACATGGCAATGTAGAATTCACTGCCGGCTTGCCAGGCCAGTTGCAGTTTCAAGAATAAGTTAATCAGGTGGATTCCAGCTGCTATTAGCCTAAGAGGGCCTAAGTTTCCCAGTGTGTATAATTTTACAGGTCAGGCTGCTTGGAGTCCTGAACTTTCCTGTTATGTTGCAGCCTTGACTTTCCATTTTGTGATGACAATTTAAAGCAAAGTTGGGTGAACAACCTCAAACTACACCAGTTCAGGTTTCATTTTTTTTTAAATATGCTAAACAAATGATTGATCAGTATGAGAGTAAACTCACCAAAAGAAATCCAGAGTAGCGGCGTAGACTCTCTCCCTCAGCACAGACTTGGCCGGGGTATTTGGGATGGACTCACCCTGCAGCAGGGACAATCCCATGGACAGCAGCCTGCAGAAAGGGACAGACAGACAACAACAGACAAGTAAATATGCCTTCTCTTCTGTCTTTCATCTCCCAGTGGAGAAATGGGACATCACTAAGTGGCACGTGGAGAAATGGGACATCACTAAGTGGCACGTGGAGAAATGGGACATCACTAAGTGGCACGTGGAGAAATGGGACATCACTAAGTGGTACGTGGAGAAATGGGACATCACTAAGTGGCACGTGGAGAAATGGGACATCACTAAGTGGCACGTGGAGAAATGGGACATCACTAAGTGGCACGTGGAGAAATGGGACATCACTAAGTGGCACGTGGAGAAATGGGACATCACTAAGTGGCACGTGGAGAAATGGGACATCACTAAGTGGCACGTGGAGAAATGGGACATCACTAAGTGGCACGTGGAGAAACGGGACATCACTAAGTGGCACGTGGAGAAATGGGACATCACTAAGTGGCACGTGGAGAAATGGGACATCACTAAGTGGCACGTGGAGAAACGGGACATCACTAAGTGGCACGTGGAGAAATGGGACATCACTAAGTGGCACGTGGAGAAACGGGACATCACTAAGTGGCACGTGGAGAAATGGGACATCACTAAGTGGCACGTGGAGAAACGGGACATCACTAAGTGGCACGTGGAGAAATGGGACATCACTAAGTGGCACGTGGAGAAATGGGACATCACTAAGTGGCACGTGGAGAAATGGGACATCACTAAGTGGCACGTGGAGAAATGGGACATCACTAAGTGGCACGTGGAGAAATGGGACATCACTAAGTGGCACGTGAAGAAATGGGACATCACTAAGTGGCACGTGGAGAAATGGGACATCACTAAGTGGCACGTGGAGAAATGGGACATCACTAAGTGGCACGTGGAGAAATGGGACATCACTAAGTGGCACGTGGAGAAATGGGACATCACTAAGTGGCACGTGGAGAAATGGGACATCACTAAGTGGCACTTGGAGAAATGGGACATCACTAAGTGGCACGTGGAGAAATGGGACATCACTAAGTGGCACGTGGAGAAATGGGACATCATTAAGTGGCACGTGGAGAAATGGGACACCAAATAATGGCAAATGGTGAAAAAAGACATCGTACAGTGGCAAACAGAGAAACAGGAGATCAAATAGTGGCAAACAGAGAAACAGGAGATCAAATAGTGGCAAACAGAGAAACAGGAGATCAAATAGTGGCAAACAGAGAAACAGGAGATCAAATAGTGGCAAACAGAGAAACAGGAGATCAAATAGTGGCAAACAGAGAAACAGGAGATCAAATAGTGGCAAACAGAGAAACAGGAGATCAAATAGTGGCAAACAGAGAAACAGGAGATCAAATAGTGGCAAACAGAGAAACAGGAGATCAAATAGTGGCAAACAGAGAAACAGGAGATCAAATAGTGGCAAACAGAGAAACAGGAGATCAAATAGTGGCAAACAGAGAAACAGGAGATCAAATAGTGGCAAAAAGAGAAACAGGAGATCAAATAGTGGCAAACAGAGAAACAGGAGATCAAATAGTGGCAAACAGAGAAACAGGAGATCAAATAGTGGCAAACAGAGAAACAGGAGATCAAATAGTGGCAAACAGAGAAACAGGAGATCAAATAGTGGCAAACAGAGAAACAGGAGATCAAATAGTGGCAAACAGAGAAACAGGAGATCAAATAGTGGCAAACAGAGAAACCGGAGATCAAATAGTGGCAAACAGAGAAACAGGAGATCAAACAGTGGCAAACAGAAAAACAGGAGATCAAATAGTGGCAAACAGAGAAACAGGAGATCAAATAGTGGCAAACAGAGAAACAGGAGATCAAATAGTGACAAACAGTGAAACAGGGAACGAAACAGTGATAAATAGAGAAACAGGGCATCAAAAAGTGACAAACACAGAAACAGGGCATCAAACGGTGACAAATAGAGAAACAGGGCATCAAACAGTGGCAAAAGGAGAAACAGGGCATTCTTGTTCCAGCACTGAAGTCTTGCATGCACATCAGTTTTACAGATCTGGCTGAATCCGTGAGAGGACTGTTGGTTGACCACCTCTCAGGCAGCACTCCAGCTTAAAAGGAAATGCTGGTCCTATCTATGTTGGTCGGGCCCTGATAATGAAACTGTCTAGGATGACCACCGAGAAGTTGAGGCAGGTGTTGACCAGTAGCAGCCGTGGTAATGATGCACCACAATCGAGCGCGCGGTCCAGTCCCTCTATCCCCCCCCCCCCCCCCCCCCCCCAAGCAGGATCTCAAATAGACATATCTTTCTGACCAAATCTTACATAAGATAACAGTAGACAGGTCAATTCTTCATACATTTAACATTTTAATTGACAATTTTTAAACATTTTAAAAATGCCTTTTTATCATCAGCATGTCGTTAGCTGGTTAGTTAAAGTTGGCATGGCTGGCTTAGCTGAATGGTTGGTTATGATTGCATTGTTGGTATGGCTGGCCATGACTGCAAGGCTGGTCTTGGTTGGCATGGTTGGTCAAGGTCTCAGATCAAGCCTGTGTTGCTGTCACAATAATAAGCCTTTGAGATGTTTGTTCTCTTTTTCTCAACAGCATTTTCGACCCCCTATCGAAACATTATCCCCCCATTATCTTGTCCCAACTATCTCACTGACATGGTCAATCTCACTTTGCTGTGGCAACAGTATTTGATACCCCCTCCCCAAACATACAGAGAACATATCACACATGATGAGGTTAACTGTATAATTACCCCGCACATCAACAACTATGAAACTCTTAACTATGGTGAAAAGATGGAAAATGCAATGATACAGACATCTAACGGCCACTCAAAACAATACCAGAGGGCTAAGCAGAGGGAAAGATGAGAAGGGGCAGACAAAGAAAGGCCTGGATGATAAACCTGACTGACCAGACAGACATCAGGCATGCAACGATCAGGTCAACTACATCTGACTGTCAAAGCTTGAGCCAGTTGATCAGACAGTCAACAGCAACTGGTCAGCCAACAAGAACAAGCTGCAGTGTTTGTTACAGGATGATAAAAAGCTGCCTTTTCCGCGCCCTTAGGCGTACTGGGAATATAGGACCTACATTTGTCTGGACCAATCAGTATCAGCACAAGATGGCTGATGTGGTCAGTGTCATGCCGGACGCCTTTTCTTTCCTGGACTGCACATGGTATCCAATCAAGGATATGTCGACCTGGAGTCAAGATCAATTTTTTTTAAAAGTCTGGCTTTGTCAGGACGCAAACCCACTACCTTTCGATCTGCAGGCGGGTGTCTAGCTGCCAATGCCACAGCGACTCCCTTCAGGATGATGAACTAAACATTATAGACTAGTCATGCAATAAAATCTGGCAAGTACCTGAAGCGAGGCCCAATGGCCGCTGTATGGCGGGAAATAATCGACGGTCTCCTGCCGACATTGACAGACAAGGACTTGTTCAGTAGGGACAAGACAATTTGAATCTGTGCTGTATCACTGTATTTGGCAATCTCCACTCGTTCTTGCAGAAACTGTTGGTTTAGAAATAGGAAAAAGAAAAAAATTATTATGGTATTTGTAGCAGTAACAATACGTGGTGCAGTAGCCAGATGCCCACATACATGCCTGATGGCTTTGAGTTTGAATCTGCACCACAGTGACTATTTTTTTAAAAATGACCTCGACTCCCAGGTTGACCCAGCCTAAATTAGGTACCAATATCCTGAGAAGTAAGGGCGGCCAGTGTGACATGTATCATAAATTCACCAAGTGCCAACTGGTCTATCATACACCATCATATGCTAAATCACCACTGGCATAAAAAAGGTTTATTATTTCATGTGAGACTGCAGCCACCCAGCAATGCTTCATGCCTCTGTGTTCATCTTAGAGTCAACAGCAGTCGTTCTCAACCTGTGGGTCGTAAACCCTTTGGGGGTCAAACGACCCTTTCACAGGAGTGGCCTAAGACCACCAGAAAACATATCACTGAAGTTATGAAGTCATCATCATCTTGTAGCAGGTCCGTCGCAGAACGTCGCTCTCATCACAGTCTGCCTGAAAGAAACACGGTCTCTCGCCAGTTCTCCCGCCTCATGCACTTTCACACTCAAGGAGTCACTTATATCCTGTGCCCATCTTTGTTATGAAGTAGTAATGGAAAAAAAAAAAAAACTATGGTTGGACATGAGGATCTGTATTAAAGGGTCACCAGAATATGAGGAATTGTATTAAAGGGTCACTAAAACATGAGGAACTGTATTAAAGGGTCACCAGAACATGAGAATTGTATTAAAGGGTCACTAAAACATGAGGAACTGTATTAAAGGGTCACCAGAACATGAGAATTGTATTAAAAGGTCACTAAAACATGAGGAACTGTATTAAAGGGTCACTAAAACATGAGGAACTGTATTAAAGGGTCACTAAAACATGAGGAACTGTATTAAAGGGTCACTAAAACATGAGGAACTGTATTAAAGGGTCACCAGAACATGAGGAACTGTATTAGAGGGTCACTAAAACATGAGGAACTGTATTAGAGGGTCACTAAAACATGAGAAACTGTATTAAAGGGTCACTAAAACATGAGGAACTGTATTAAAGGGTCACCAAAACATGAGGAACTGTATTAGAGGGTCACTAAAACATGAGGAACTGTATTAGAGGGTCACCAGAACATGAGGAACTGATTTAGAGGGTCACCAGAACATGAGGAACTGTATTAGCGGGTCACCAAAACATGAGGAACTGTATTAGAGGGTCACCAAAACATGAGGAACTGTATTAAAGGGTCACTAAAACATGAGGAACTGTATTAAAGGGTCACTAAAACATGAGGAACTGTATTAAAGGGTCACCAGAACATGAGGAACTGTATTAGCGGGTCACCAAAACATGAGGAACTGTATTAGAGGGTCACCAAAACATGAGAAACTGTATTAAAGGGTCACCAAAACATGAGGAACTGTATTAAAGGGTCACTAAAACTTGAGGAACTGTATTAAAGGGTCACCAGAACATGAGGAACTGTATTAGAGGGTCACCAAAACATGAGGAACTGTATTAGAGGGTCACTAAAACATGAGGAACTGTATTAGAGGGTCACCAGAACATGAGGAACTGTATTAGAGGGTCACTAAAACATGAGGAACTGTATTAGAGGGTCACCAAAACATGAGGAACTGTATTAAAGGGTCACCAGAACATGAGGAACTGTATTAGAGGGTCACCAAAACATGAGGAACTGTATTAGAGGGTCACTAAAACATGAGGAACTGTATTAGAGGGTCACCAGAACATGAGGAACTGTATTAAAGGGTCACTAAAACATGAGGAACTGTATTAAAGGGTCACCAGAACATGAGGAACTGTATTAAAGGGTCACTAAAACATGAGGAACTGTATTAGAGGGTCACTAAAACATGAGGAACTGTATTAGAGGGTCACTAAAACATGAGGAACTGTATTAGAGGGTCACCAAAACTTAAGGAACTGTATTAGTTGGTCACCAAAACATAAAGAACTGTATTAGAGGGTCACCAAAACATGAGGAA